GATTGAAGTGAATTCCTAACTAGTTATTGTTGTGTATAATTTTGAGTTAACAAATGGAAAATGGATTAGAAAGCATGATCCGAAATTGACAATCTGTTTTTCTTTGTAGATTGTGCTGTGCGGTGGTTGATGTTACATTGACTGTTTGTAGATAAACTTGCGCGTGACGCACATTTATAATGATCATAAAACAGAACATGAACATCAGTACTAATGGAAATAAGATCGTAACTAGCGCAAAGGACAGATTCGCTTTGTAGCAATAGAGTTGTTATGTTTCAATAATCATTGAAAGAGTGATGATGATGACCACGACAGTACACTGTACATTTTTCTCGACGATTAGTAGAATAGTTGTTTTTGTGAGAGCAAATATATTGAAAATATTACCTAGAACACCGAAAATAGGGGGAATAAAAATTGAAACATAACGATTAGATTGATTCGAAATATTGTTCAGTAGAGTGATCAGATTTGCATCTCCAGATAGTGACATTTGTTTTTTGGATAATTCGTTTTTGCAAATAGAAAATGATAGATTTGACAAGGTCATTGGTGCGATTAACTTTATGTCTTCTATAAATCTAGTCATCATGTATTACATTAAGTTATCATCCGAAGTTAGTGGATTCCTTCCTTTCTTATTGTAGTGGGTTTTGTTTGCATATATAATTTACAATGACACCCATACCCATTTTCAGCTTGAGCGTATGATGTGTGAGTGCAGAGATTCATTTTGATTTACATCTTACGTCATCATTGTCTCGTCAATTTCGAAGAAAACATTCGTTAGACAAGACTAGAATGTATTCACAAATGTGTTCTGCACCGAAAAATTTTGATTGAGTTTTTCCTAGAAATGACATAGATGTCTCGATTTAAACTTATAAACGTAAACTACTTTACTGTTTGATGCGTAACAAGCTCTATCTCTGTGCTAATTTAATCGAAATAGAATACGGCAAACCATTACACTTCGTTCATAGAGTCATTACAAACTACTTTGCTTGTGGGCTGGACGTCAGGCGTTGGCTTGCAATATTAACTGCAAGGACAGAGAGAAAAGACTGTCAATATATTCTCATATGTCATGTAAATGTGTTCGATTGCATTTCGCATTTATAACTCAATCTGCAATAATTTACCCTGATCTTCGAATTTAAGATTAATAACGAAACTAGATAGTAGATGAAACGTCTGAAATGGGCGGTCCTCTAAAGGTCACTTTTGAATAAATTACTCTCTTTGATTTTGATGCTCTTCTCGCACAAATCATTGTTCCTATTTTCAGTACTTTCATGTAGCGGGCGAATAAAAACAATAATAGAATCATAACAAACTGCGCATATGTTATCTTTCACATGAAATAGACTGCCTCGAAGAGCAAAGTTATATTCGATCTTGTATGAATCAACATTCGAAACAGATTTTCTCATTCTCATGCACATTGTATTTATTCTCAACCTACAACATCAGTGTTCTTTTAATTATCTGTTTTCTGCAAGAAGCGATGTATAAGATTCTTTCTTTGATTATTCTATTCATTTGTGGAAGCGCAGTCGCGCGTCAATCTGGTATTTTATCGAGTTCAATCGGTCGTATCACGCCATCTGCGAAGCAAAATGTTAAGAGTGCTGATTTGTGTTCTACGTGTGTCAGCACATTCGATCTGTTGATCTATTTTGTCATTGATGGAATTATGGAACTGGGTATTGCAACAACATGCGATGACTTATGTCAATATGTTACACAAAAATCCCAATCGCCGTATTTAGAAGCTATTTGTTCAATTGGTTGCGATATTGTTGGAATAAACGAATTCATTCGCATAGCAACAAAGGTCGATCTTGATCCAATTTATTTCTGTGAATTATTAACAATTTGTCCAAGTAAAAACGAACCACTTTCTTTGTATAGAATCAAAAGAAATAAGTTTCATTACTTTAGTTAATGATCATGGTGACGCGAAAATCAAAGCATTTGTCATTTCACCACCGCATGCGACAGCTTCTACTAAATTTGTTTTTGATGTAACCTTTCAATCGGTCAATGGAACTGGTACAGGTCAATTGCTGTACACTGTTAAACCAGTTGATGATCTCAAGATTTCGTCGTTCTTGTTAATGGAAGAAAAAAAACCAGGTTTATATGCTGAACGTTTTGCTATTGATACGACCCCTGATCCAGATTGTGAATCGGACATTAGTAAGAAAGAAATTCGTCACCTATTTGTATTTTTAGAAAGTGAATGTCCGTTTTTTAATCATAGATCCTTGTGAAGAATGGCTTCCTGGTGTTTACAATGTTACAGTTATGATTTGTAACGGAGAATGTAATTCACAGCATCCTCATAGCCAGGTTTATGACACGGTCAAAGGTTCATTTCAAATTGATTAATAAGATGAAGGAAAGCTTATCCCCAACATCTGGTATAAGTGACGGCTCTATTCTAGTTGTAGTTTTTGCCTAAATTGATAATAAAATCTGAATACGATTTTTTGAAGTATTTTACTATTAATTAAGGACAGCTGTGGATGAGAATCTTCTGTACATCATCAGCTTCATGATTCTTTGCTCTATCTATTGTAGTCAATCTATTTTTCTATGTTAGTTTACGACTACTGAAAAAGAACAACTAATATCGTTGTAAATTTAGTCGCTGAAATGCTAAAAGTTCCTTTGTTTCTATAAACTAATCAGATTGCAGGATTTTCAGAGTGTAGGAACTCGAATCTAATATCTGTCGTTCATTGTACCAGTCTATATGGTTTCGAGAAAGATCGTATTCAAGTGAACAAATTAACGCAGAAATTATTTTAGAAACTTTTTACAGATGAATTATATAAACCAGCACTATTGTTACTGCTCGATCCTCTGGAATTCCCGACGACTAATATGTTTTCATTTGGTAACGTAACTACTCTGTGATCCCATCGAATATGATACATACTACTAGTGGTTGTCCAAGTTTCTGTTGATGGACCAAAAACATCTGGACTTTCATTAAATGCACCAGTGACTAATAATTTATCGTTTTTTAATTAAACAATTGCATGAAGACGCGCTGGACTCGGCATACTAGCAACGAATTTCCATGTTCCTGTCATTGGATCATATAATTCACTACTGTTTGAAAAAGTTTCATCATCAGTAAAACCGCTGCTGACTAATACTTTTCCATTCGATAATACAGAGGCTGTATGTTGATATCGACTAACGTTCATACTACCAGTAAGTAACCAGTTTCCTGTTAATGGATCATACAATTCTGTACTGCTATGAGGGCCTCCAAGAGTGTATCCACCAGCAACTAGAACTTTCCCATTTGGTAAAAGCGAAGTGGTGTGCATGCATCGCTTGTAAGTCATATTACCAGTATAAATGTCCAGTTTCGCTTTTCTGGATCATATAATTCAGCGGTGTTTGAATAGGCAAAATCATCATTTAGTCCACCTGTAACTAAAACTTTTCCATTCTGTAATGTTACTGCTGTGTGTGCATATAACGTCCATCATTCAACATAGCACCATTTGTCCAATTGCATGTGGATGAGTGAAACAATTCTGTGGTATGCAAAGTTTTCCAATAAGGACACTGCATGGATACATCTTCTATAACGAAGCTTACCAGTTTCAGACCATTCTATAGATGAAAATATTTACATATAACTCAAATAGATTTATTTCAACTCACTTGACTGATTACTTGCCTTTAAATAAGGATTGATACTACTTTCTGAATTTGCTGATGCAACAATAATCACTACAAAAAAAGTCACTCTTTACATATGATTGTATAAATGGACTTTTTTTAAAATAATGATACTTACTATCTATGGTTCAACTATATATTTTATGCTACGAACAAAATATTCCGTGTGTGGCCTATTTTATATTCATTTAAGTAGCCTTATATAGGTTAGAGAAGAAAATAGTACTATTTACTTTGAGAGGAAGCATGCAAAATTCTATGTTGTCCGTGTAAATACTCCTATCTAATGGTATGTACTATTTACCTAAGACTGATCTTGTCGTTGTTACGGGCAGATTTTGTTTCGGATTGCTCATTAATTGTAAATTTTGTAACTAACTATCAGACNTATAATCATAAACAAAATAACCAGTAGCATTAAAATAAAAATATGTAGTGCCTGCACTAGTAATAAGTATTTGATTTACGTCGTCGGCAATCCATACTGAATTTGTAACAAATCCATATTTTTTTATGCCAAATATTCCATAACCAGTATTACTTGTTAATGGATACGGTAATGCGTGTGTGCTGCCGTTCACATTGGGACACCGAGTGCTATTATTTTTTTTACAAATTCTCAAATAGCCTGTTGATTGAGTGACAATTCCTCCATCGAAAACATGCCATGCAATACCAAATGGAGGTTGATTGTCAACAAGAGATGATGGTGACGGAAATGGTGTACCAGAAAGAATTACATTAATGAAATATAATTTATTATCCAAAGCATTTATATGCAAGACAACTAAATGTGTATCATTTGACGTAGAACATCCAGATGAAACACCATTGTAACCTGTTGGTGGACAACGGTAATCTAAATCATAGTTATCTATACTTCCTAAAACAGTTAGTGCAGCAATCTGTGCATAAAATGTTTGATTTGTTTTTGGACTTTGATAAGTTGTATAACTGGTTGATAAATTTGTGATTTGTTGCCATGAAAAAACAAAACAATTGTCATTGATCGTATTATCCGTTGTTATATTAACAGTAGTTTCAACACACGAGGATGGAATTCGTTGAAGGTAGAAAATACCATCACAAACAACTATGATTGAAAAAATAAGTATAAGAAATATTTCGTATTCATCAATCACATACGAACCTAAATCGACAAGAAAAATATTGAAAAAGATCGATGCGATGAATGTATAGCAGAACATTAATGTACTTTTTAATGTCGTACTCATCAAAAACAGGGTGCTTTATTTAGGTAAAATTCGAATTTTTTTTCTCTTTCCTGTTATTGCTATTGCGCACGTCGAAAAACACGAATCAGAATCGGCACCTCATCACCATCATTTTTATGCTTATTTTTCTTTCATTGAAAGCATTCAAGTCATTTTATATTCTTTTAAGAGCGACTTAAATATAAAAACTCACTTCAAAGTTAATATAAATTATCACAGAAGAGCTTTGTTTATCAAGTATTCTTCATTTTAGTTCTTATTGAGCTGACTCTTGAAAATTAATGTCTTATATAAAAATGAGTTCTCTATACGAACTGCTTCTAAAAATTCGTATAGTGTTCCACCGAGATTCATGATTCATTCTTCTTTTAAATTCTAAAGATTTTCTTCCTGACACTCATGATGAAGCAAAACATACAAAACAAATTTCATTTAGAATTTACGCGTGAATCTTGTTTTTCTCTGTTTCTTATTTATCCTTTCTTCGACGGACGCATTCAAATGTTTGGCTTTTTTCTCATGGTGAGTCGCCAACACTCTGCCATTTACAATCGAATATTGAACCATGTAACACCTTCACCGTTATCAATGAATTATTGCTGACGATGCGATGGTCACTCCATACTTAAAAAGTCATTTAACCACATTCTTTGCGGCGTGCGAAATAATCGACTAACTATCAAAACTGCTCTCAAGGAGTTTGCTATAATCTCTTTATCTGCATTTCTTTTCTACGCTTGATGTCCTTTTTAGACCAACAGTGATACAGATGTTTCNTCTTGCTTTTGTTCTTCAGTCAAAATAGAATCTCTTCGCATTCCCATTCTTAGACATTTGTCTAATCGACACCGAGCACATTTGCGTCGCATTTCATATCCAACAGGGCATTGACCTCGACTTTTCAAACATCGAATATTTTCCTACGATAAACAATACACATATATCCCTCCATAATGAGCAAAATAAGGAACACAGACTATAGGATGATGAGCATTTCTACGAAAGAATTCTTTACACGAATTACATGATACAGCATCATAATTAAATCCAATGGCACGATCACCACATATGACACACACTAAATCAGTAGATTTCTTTCGAATTGAGTCTGTTTTAAGTTTTTTTGGTCGTGGTTGATCAAGTGCTTGTTTGTAGAGCTGATCTTGATTTGAGTTCTACAAAAAAAAGAAAGAGATACAATTATAGAAATCTATGGTCAAATGATGTACGAACAGATTGAAATATTTTAGCAAGAAGAGCACGATTGATAGGATTGTCAGTTGAAGATGTTTGCTGATCATTATTCAAATCAATAATATGCGTGTTTAAAGGTTTATTAACTGCAAACTGGCGAATAAGATCTTCATTTGATGTTAGTATAAGCATTTGTCTTTGAGACGCCATCTTGTAAACTTTATCTTGATCTCAGTTAGAAAAGAAAAACGAAATAAGGACAAAAAGAAGATGTTTCATTTTTCTTATCAAAGAGCAAAATATCAAAGAAGAAATGCAAACTCAGCGTGTGTGATAATTGAAATGATTCATTATATAAACGGTTGAGTGATATTTTTTGAAGACATATGTAATTAAATGTACTACAAAACCATGAAAACGCGTCATTTTCCATATTAATGGTTACGGATAATTTAGACGACTATGTGAAGGTAGGGCTGACATGACTGGTTTCATTTTCTGCACAAGAAGACGCATCAGATGGCTTATGATTTCATTTGATTTAAATTAATCTAACAATTTTCAAAAGGGAAAATCAAGTATCTTCCATGAAACTTGAAGATCCATTTATCATGGTGGCACTTTTTGTATGCTGAATGCTTGTTGAATCTAACTATGAGAACTGTAGTCATCGTTCGTTAGGAAATCGGTTTTAGCTTTCCTTACGTTGAACTTGCGGGTTTTGATGAAGATCCTAACACTTTTATAATGTTGAAGCCATTCAAAATCTTTCGAATGATAATGGAATAAAAGAATGTTATCATTGACGAAACGAATATCAATTAATCCCCTCAGCTAAATAGTAAAAAGAATTTTTCTGTAGAAAAATACAAAGAAATCATTTATCTTTCCATTAGTTTTTTCGATAACATTGATCGAACTACTTGACCGGATTATTTATTAAATAAATAATTTATTTTATATAATAGAGAAACGATTAATGCAATTGTAGAATATCCAGTTGATCTTGATGGTTTTTTGATAAAGTAAAAAAATCAAAGAAGATTATTGTAAGTAAAATTATTGATACGAGTGGACAAAGATCAGAATTTAGAAAATGGCTTCATTATTTTGAACATGTTACTTACTTCGATTATATTTCTTGTTCGTTGAAATCAATATAATAACAAAGTAAATGAAAAATTTTCAACGGTTTTTTATTAAAAATAGTCAGATTTGAGGAAGAAATGGAAGAGAGTAAGACACTACTTCGCTCAATAATGAATACTCCATGGTTTACAAATTCGTCTATAATCCTCCTATTGAACAAAAAAGATTCATTAGAAGAAAAAATTATGCATTCAAATTTCATTGATTATTTTTCAGAATTTGACGATAATGATTTTAATAACATCTGAAACGACTCAATTTTAACTTATATGACCAAAATGTGATGCGCAAACTGCATGAGAATTTCTTTTAAACGAACACTTTTTTAAAAATGGTTCGAGATACCAAAGATGCTTAATCGATGATTTTTACTGTTAAATATGCCATGGTTCAAGGGTGTGAAGGTGCGGGTGAGTGTTATTATTTCCCTATACTCACATTCCTACTCACAAGATGTACAAATTACCAACATGCCTTTATGTTTAATAGTAATAATTGATTATGCATAAGGCCCAGTGTTTTAGTGGTAGAATGTTCGCTTTGGAAGCGAGCGACCCAGGTTCGATTCCTGGCTAGGCCCCATTTTTTCCATTCCTGTCCTTTTTTTTTAGAGCACGTGCAGCGGAAATTGATTGCTGGATCACCGACAATCTTTTCTTTTATATTATGAAACTTTATGATAGGACATATGAATTTTTTGAAAAGGATATGATACGAGCTCTCCATAAAGGCACGACTCAATACATAGGATAGCAAAGTATTCTGCAAAAAGATCAAATTTAAAAAGAACAATAGTTACTTTTTTTTCTCTCGTTGAAATATGACTCATTTCTTTGTGTTATTGCATTATGAGAGAATGACAGAATGTGACATTCTATATGCTATTTTATGACTAAATTGCTTTTTATTTAAAAAAAACGGTAAAAAATGTTGATTGTCGAAAAAAGAAATGAGAGAGAAAAAAATTTGGGCCCAGCCAGGAATTGAACCTGGGTCGCTCGTTTCCGAAACGAACATTCTACCACTGAAACACTAAGCCTTATGCATTGAAAAGACATGAATGATTCATAGATTCAAGTGTTCGTTCTCTTATTCGACGTGCTGATGTATGAGAGTATACGTATTGTTTGACAAATAAATCTATAAAAGTTACGTGGATCGAGAAAAACATTCTCGCTCTCATCTTGAGGTGCTTTAGTGAAATTTATCGCAGTCTTAGCAGAAAAGGTCTCCTTCTTCAAACCGAAGTTTCTGAACACGATTGAAGTCTCTTCCAACAATGTAAAGGTTTCCGCATGGATCAAGTGCAATATCATTGGGGCTGATTAAGTTGGTGGCAATCTGTTCTCCTGTAGGATTACCACTACTGAATTTCAAAATGTTTCCATTCGATGATTCTACGACATAGACGCTATTACATTCATTCAAGACAACATTACCAGGGGTGCTGTTGACAAAACTAAGAAGTGTTGCGTACGTAGACACATTACTGACACCACCAATAGGATACTTCATGATTCTACCGCTTCCTCTGATAGATTCTGATGAATAAATCTTGTTAGCATGTTTTCTGTTGTCAGAAAGACCTGGAAAGCAGTGACCCGAGTAGACTCTTCCGGAAGCAACTGTCACGCCTTCTAAACCGCCCGGGAACCATTTCTGTACTCGAAGATTACCTCGATCAGTGATGAACAGATTTCCTACTACGTCAACATAGACGTGCGTTGGTTCTTTCAATTGATTCAAAGCAGATCCTCGACCATTATCTTCGTCAGCTACGAAAAAGTTGCCGTAATGATCGATGAAAATACCACTGGGGTTACTGAGTTGTACGTTAGAGGATCCTTGTTTTCCTGTCGAATCCATTTTGGTTTAGTACAACGAATGAATGGTAATGGAGTTGGCATAATACGTCATACGCTGAAGTTAAATGTACTTGAACGGTAAAAAGGTGAATAGCAACGATTGGTAGTCAAATAGACTTCGCCATTGTTTAGATTGTTTCACTTCGAGAGAGAACCGGATATGAAATAAAAACGTGATGTTCATATTCAACTTGAAGCATCCATACGATGCGAGGGTGAGGGTTTGACTATAACTATAACTAAAACTATTCCTATACTTTCAAAGCTATAGGTGTCTATTTATATTCGAATTGATATCAGTCTCTTGAATGTGCATTTATAATATAAGTCGAATTAAGCAACTCATGAACTATTCGTTTTCTACTAAACCTGTAACAATTCATATATCAGAACAGAAGAATCTGAAACGATTAATCATGCTTTTAGATTTTAATATTTTCCCAATGTCAGTGTTGACGGATAAACATCTTGTCACTAAGCAGACGCAAGTGCACTGATTTTTCTAGTCGCTGAAATACATATGGATATAATATTTATCATTTGAAGTGGAATTTCGAAAAACAGACCAGTATTAGGTGAACGAGCTCTATGTGAGTTGATCAATGATGGCTTATTGAAATTTAATCATTTTTTGGTCGATTCTCGCGGAAGAAAATTAAAGTCATAGATGAAAACTTCGGTGACAGCAATCAATAATCCATCACAAGAATTATTGAAGAAAATTTTAAAATTGTATGTATAGAAAAGGAAAAAAATCACATTCCCCTATGTTCAACGTGTTATATATGTAATGTATATTTATTCCTGAAGAAACAATTTTTGTAATTGCTTTCGAACGGTAAGAAAACCGTTGTAGAAAACTTTAAATTTTGTGCAAGTTTTTTTTGGCTACAGCAGTATAATGGAGATAGACCGAGATCGGTGTTATCTGTTTTACGTAGTCTTTTCTGAAGATATTTGCCGATGTATGTTTCGACAGACTCTTCTTTTGTGAAGTTGTATATTTTCTTTGCCAATTCAAATGGACATCTACGAATTAGTTTCTGAGCCACTCGATATTTTCTTTTTATTTCCTCGCATCGTGTGCCCGGAAGTATTGGGAAGAGCCATGCGAAGAAGCAGATTATTTTAGTCTTCAAAGATATATGTCTGCTTCTGCTTAGCCAGTTTAGTTTTCTAAAAGATTTGGTCATATCTAATTTTCATTGAGTAGTCAGAATGATTTTGGCATATCGTAGATTCTGCCGAGTTAATGAAACTGGCCATCTCCATGTAGATCTTTTTGAATAGGTGGTGTTATCAATGTGCACAAATCATCTGCAAATATATGTGATTACATTTTCATCTTTAGCTCTAGTATAACATCGAATTAGATATTACTTATAAAACTTGATGTTTTTCTGTAACATGATACTATATTTACCGAGAACTATAAAGAACATGGGGAATACAGTATAGGTACGATTTTTCTTTGGATCAAATAAAAGATACATCCACCATGTATCATCTCTTGTATCAGAAATCGTCACAGCATGTATGGGTGCTTGTCAAAAGCGGTACTCACATATCCACTCATCACGCTCTTAATCATTTTATGACATACATGTTGTCCAAATGTTTCTCTAAGAAAGAGAATTCGGTGAAAGTGTCTATCAATGAAAAACAAAGTATTCACTCTATGGGCTAAAAAATTTTCTTCTAAATTGATTAAGTGTGAATTTTAACACAAAATTTTGACAACAAATTGTTTTGTTTTTGTTTTTACGTTCTTTTCTTTTTCAAGGTTTCTCCAAACATCTTCATTTTCTTTCATGGCCATAAGAATTAGTTTCATTTCAAGAGTTCAAAGCAAACGACATGAATAAAAGCCGATGGTGTAAACAAAATTATTTTCATTTACAATTCAGTTTTTACTCCTGCAGGTAGGTAATCATGTTAAAAAATTATTAAACCAATTGTTTCTCTTGTTAGTACGAATGTTAAAACGAAAATTATGATTCTTGAAAGCTTCACTTTTGAATATATTTTGTTCATGAAATATGAATAAGAAATATTACTGAAATGTGTAGGCCTAATATAGTCTTCATCTTGAGGGTGGGTACGTGTGAAGACAAAAGCAACACTTTCTTTCTCACCCTCACCCACCATCACACCCTCAAGTGTTTCGTTCTTTCCTATAGACAAAGAACTATACTATTTCAAAAGCCTTTCCTACCTTTGTTAACAGATTTTTGAAATAAAAATGTCTGACTGTATACTTTCAACCCATGAAGAAGTTCATACAAGAATTGATAATACAGTTACACCATATCTTCCGCTCGGTGAATATGTTCAATGTGGTCTTTATTGTGTTGCACAAATGTTTATGAATATCGAAGAAATCAAAACTATTTGTAATGCACAACATGAAAATGAAAAACATAAATTTAATCAATTAAACGATCGTTTAAATTTGCTTATCGATCATGTGAAACGACTGGAATTACAAAATGCCGAATATACTGAAAAATTAGCCCTACTTCGACAAGAATCTTTCGACGTCGAATTTGATGAACGTTATATACAATTAGAAACTGATCTTAAAACCGCTAATTACAAGAAAATTGATCATGAATTTGAATATCAACGCTTCCAGATACATAGCGATATATACCAACAATTAATGTATGCTAAAACTGAATTTCAGAAACAAAAACAAATCAAATTACAAGAAGAATTAAATCAATCATCGTGTACATTGACTGGTCTACGTAAATCTTATACAGAATTAGAAAACCAGATCAAAACAGATCATACAGAACGTGATAATATTCTACAACAATATCTTCAAGTAACAACTGATTGGGGACATTGTAAAAAACAAACAAGTCAAGTAAAAATTAATATACAAACATTGAAAAATCAACATGTCTTTTATAAGAATATTCATTCTTTTATATCAACGTACGTATAAATGATCTGATTTGTACTTTGAATAATTCTTTCCTTTTTATGTAAGAAATTCATTTACAGCAGCAGTATTTGATGTAAAGCAATATTGGACTGTAAAATCAGAGAAAATTCTTGCAAATATTCGTCATGATTATGAATTATTATATGCATCAATTTATCAAGAAATAAATACTTATTATGAAAAAAGAATGAAAGAAGTACAAATTTCGTTTGAGCAAATAAGTGTTGAACAAAAGAAATATTATCAAGAAATTGAAAGTACAATTATAAAAGCTATGCAAGAAAGATTTCAAATAGAATATGAAGAAGTACAACAAATGTATATCAAAGAAAAAGAACTTAAATTAAAATTAGAAACAAATATTTGTGAGGAAATATTTAATATTTTTTTTATCGATTCTTTTCTTTCTTTTAGCTAGTTTAGAATCTGAATACGAATTAATTAAAGTTGAAAATGAAGAAAAATATGAAGCACAATCAAAAGATCTACATCTTTTACAAGAAAGTATCTTAAGCATGATAAATGGTATTGAACAGATGAGAGAAAGGTTAAGAAATTAT